CGATTCAATGGTAGAGACACTTCAGAGATTAACCTGGGTTTGATTTAGGCCGTTTATGCATTAAAATCTGTGTTTTTCAGTGTAGTCCTGTTTCTCTGACTGTGACTAGCTGGATGTGCTCTCTTTCATCCTCTGACATGGGAGCTTGCTCAGAGCTCATCTGCCTTGCTGCGTGTCTGCTGGACGGGGCTGCCTGTGGAGCTGGTTTACAGTTTCCTGTTGTATCTCTGCTTCTTTCTGTATGTCTTCTTCTGTCTCCTTGAACCCCAGTCGGCCTCAGCAGATGGCCGCTCACACTGAGCCTGGTTCTACTGGAGGTTTCTTTCTGTTAAAAGGGAGTTTTTCCTCTCCATTGTCGCTACAAGCATGCTTAGTGTGAGGGATTGCTGAAAAGTCAATAAGTTGATGCAATCAACTGGTTTTCCTTAGAAAACTTTGAATCAGTTGACTGTATGATCTAGTGAACTGGCGTTATATAAATAAACTGAATTGAAATGTTTCAGCATAGTGTTAGTTTAGCATAATCTAGTGCAGGCTCTCTCATCAGTCCATTTATTTTGGTTTAAAAGACCATAACCAGTCTTGCTAACAAAAAGCACCAACAATCATATCAGCTGCAGCTCTTTTAACCAATATATATCAAATCATATAATATTTAAAGAGCTGTCTTCCTGGTTTAACACTGATAAGGTAAACTGATGCTTCTGGTCTCGTTAAGGTAACAAACATCGGAACGCAGACCAGCTGGTGGTCATGTGACTGAGTTAGCTTGTTGCTAAAGCAATAAGCTAACTTTTCTTACACTGGTTTTACCTACATTTAGGTAGAAAATAAAAACACCAGACCGTAAATTAGCCTAACAAAGACATATTGGTTGGTGTCAGGAGTTGACTGAGTCACTTACCCCCTCATGATAGACTTTATTGGCTCTTTTTAGTTTAATATCCAGAGTGACGCTCATTTCTGAGCTTAAAATGACTGCTGTTGACCCAAATTCCTTTATATGCTACACATCGACCTAATGCTTCAGTTGGCTTTAAATTAAATTTCCCTTTTCTCTAAAATATGAGATTGTTTTGAGCAGTAAATCAGTATCCGGTTAAGTCTTTCAAAATAAGAGCGATTCTTCTTCTTTGGTTTTTAAGCGCAGCTTGCATACAGCGCATGTTACGTTACTGCCACCTCGTGGATTCTAATATTAATGTCATACTTCTTGAATTCTTCTCTTGTGACCATTTTTTTTCTTTTCCCAACTTCATTATTCAACTTTGCAGCGCTATCTCCAAACGCCAGCTCTTCAGTAAAGCTCATAGTTGAGCTTAAATATTTATTTTTAAATTTATACTTACTGCTGTAAATAAACATGTGTGATTGATCAGTATTACACCCACTACATGATTCAGTGAGATGTTTTTCCATCTTATAAATGGTGCCATTTAAGAGATAATGATCTGTTTGGATGCTGTGAAGCCTCTTTTCAGAGGGCAGCAGGAAGAACAGTCCATGTATTTAAAAATGCATGAATATACATTTACTAGAACATTATTTCCATTTGTATTATTGTTCTTAAAATGTCTTCACACAGAGCAAAGCGGAGCCAAAGTCAAATTCTCTTTTCTTTCCACAAACTTATTGAAGCAGGTTTTTAATGAGTATATTTGAACCTTAATATATAAACTGTATAATTTTAAAGTATGCTGTATTTTCATTACAACCTAAAAGAGAAAGCAGATATATCATCAAGGATTGATGAGACCCGATGATGAATCAAGTTCTCCTTGTTGTAAAACTTATACTCTTTAAAAGGCTACAATAGAGGACATTTATCATATTGTTTATAGAAACCATGAAAAAAGTCAAATAATAATAATCATAACATAACTTTCAGTTAGGATATTTGGAAAAATCCAAGAACTGACTTCATTGTCCAAATTGTCTCCCTTTTTTTAAGCTGTTGCTTTCATTAATTTAGACCATCATTAAACTTGAAAAATATTACTAAATGCAGTTCTGTGTATAATTCAATATCATGTTAATATTTTTTTTATTATTCAGATACACTTACCAACAAAATGATTTTTAAAAAGCTCAAGCAGGTTTTTTTAAACCTATTTTATTGTTATCAAAATAAACACTACATAAAAATATCAAGTCCATAACAGCAAGTTGTGTTGTGTGATAAACTCTCTAAGCAGCAGAGGGCACTATTGAGCTAAATCTTTATTTAATTAATTTACTTTTAATCTAATACTTATAATCTTATTCTCCTATTTAATCATTTTTATTATTGTAATTGTTTCATATTATAGTGAAATCAACAGATTTCGATGACAAATTTATATGAGCTTTGCAGAGGAAAGCAAGCATAAAAAGACATTTAGACAGAATCCCCAGATAAAGAATAAAGACTTTAGTTTTGTAGATGCTTAAATATTTTTTTTTTATGTCAATCACAGTTAAATGTCTCAAGACTTAATCTAATTCAGCTTGCTTAATTTTAGATTACTTTAACCCTTTGTTACCCCTTGCAAATCTTTAAAATGGCATCCTGTTCATGATTTCATGCAAAGTTGGCAGCTAATTTGTCTTATCAAATATCCGGTTATCTTGTGACTCTTTTAGCTCCTGTCAGTTATGATGCAAAAACATGTTGAGATTAAATCCTGAAGATAAAAATACATCAGGATTTAAGTAAGACTTCGGCTAAATAAGCGTACAAACAAACAGTGTTTGTTTCTTTGAATTTAGTAAAGAATGAGGTGAAGAAACCCGGCAGCAAACTAGTGATGTTATACGCTGCCAGGAATGTGGATCATGAGGTTAATAACAAATCTGAGGAGAGTTATCCAAGGTTAATGACTCATTAAAGGAACTGTTTTGACACTTTGCTTTAGCTACTATTACATTCACAGCCAAACGCTCTGCTTATACATCTTACAAATGTGTTTTATACACACTTTTGAGTAACTCTTCAGAAAACCTCTACTTCCTATAGATAGCTACTTTTTGCTTCTGCAGAAGCCCCTTCCATTATGTTTCTTTAGCTTTATTTGGGCTCATCCTTTAACACTCACTTTAACCATCTTTCAATGTTTATTCAATAACTGGCTGTTATTGAAATACCCCACACACCCACACACAGTTCGCATTCAACCCACATAAGACTTTGTTTAGACCATAGATATTTAGTGTTATCTGGAGTCTCTCTCTCACCCCACCTTGCTGCTGGTTATTTCCAGTAATCATTCACTGTGTGGCAAAAGGAAAAAAAGAAACTCTAATCTTGCAGGTCATTAGGTAGAAAACATTCCAGCAAGTTTAAAGTCATTATCTGGCTTGTCTTAATTCACCCTGGCTTTAGTAGAAGATCTTGTAGCATTTAAACATTTTTACATTTTCTTCTTTACATATTCTAAATCAACATATATAATGCAGTGCATCATTTTAAATTAAAAGAACAATGTTGCATAGGTTACCGTTTTTCTAAAACAAGAATGTAAAAGAAGTGTAACACATTTATAATCAGCCCTCTAAGTCACTACTTTATACCACCATAGTCTACCAGCTTATTAGATCTAGAATCTGATTGTTATTACCCGTTTTTCTTTTAAAACCTCAGACAGACAGCAGGGATTCTCAAATTAAGCCTGGTTAAGGCTGACCTTCTAATGGTTTTCTTCCGGCCTTCATAAAGGCCAGCTTTGTGTAATGCCTGAGTCATAGTTCTCCTCCCACCTGAGCTGTGGTTCTCTGCTGCTCCTCCAGAGTAATTTACTGTTTAAGCTTTCCCTAGATGCAAAAAACATCTAGAAATAAGACAGTTCTTAAATTAAGTGTATTTACCTTTAATTTCAATAGGTAAATAGACAATAAAATTAGTATTTTTACTCTAAGATAAGATAGTTAGATAATATGCACTTTAAATAAGACAATGAAATAGTTTTTTTTTTTTAATTTTAAATGTAAATTGTCTTGCTCCAGTGGCAAAGTGTCTCGCTCTCCCCCTTACTTCAACAAAAAAGCACTAATTTTAAGGAAAAAAATGACTTACCGGTATTTGGATTTCAACTTTTCATAGTGTGTCCTCTCAAGCAAGCTGGACAGCCATGTTTCTGTAGGTTAGATGTGGCCATACCCTCTTTATTTTCTGATAATTGATTGAACACAGCTTTCTGAGATGTTTAGATACTATAAAGGTCTCTACAACTTCCTCTCTGCCATGTTCTTTGCTTTTCACAATGCAGTTTGTTCTCCAATGTTCCCTAACTAACCTCTGAAGTCCTCATAGAACAGTTGGATTTATAATTAGATTATTATTTTAATTTCATTTTTATTTTGGCTGCTCTGGTTCTGTTTTGGAGATAAAAACAAATGCAAGTTATTGATTAAAGAGAGCCTGGCAAAGGTTAGAAAAAAAATACCTCCAAAGTATGAAAAGTACCCTCAGCTCTCAGGTGTGTAATGTCTACAGTAATAGTCTGTTTGTCTGCAGTTAAAATAAATAACTTTTACATTAATTGACTATTTCCATCTGTTTTTTACTGCTCCATGCTCCAGTTATGATAAATTATGAACAAGTAACAGTCGACAGCCAATATATGTGTAACATTTTCTGAATAGACTAATAACCAAGAACAATTACTTTTATGATATTTTAAAAACAGAATTATTTTCCCTACATCAGGTGTCAAAAATATTTAAGCAGAAATATTGACTGTTTTCCAAATGTTTCACATTAACATAATGCATCATTCTTCCGTCTTGTAGTTTGACCTCAGTTCAGCCAGACAGCCTTTCATTTGTCATGACAGCAAGCGTGTTCAAAGACGGTTCATCATGTCCTTTAAACAGCTCCTGAAAGCAGTAAATCTGGGCTTGTGTATAAAGCAACAACAACCATAAAAGAAGGAAAATAAATGTCAAGCGGTCGCCCTCCTCGTTCCTACCTGTGGACAGGTGAGAGGGAGGCGGGGGTGAAAAGAAAGCCAGCCCCCATCTAGATCCCAGATTACAGCCCAGCTCTGCGTCTTACACTTAATTCTTCCCTGAATACTATTGTACCAAAGTTCAGAGCTCACTACGCGGGACAAAAGGAGAAAGAAGACACTGAACTGCTAGTTCTGGGACAGTTTCATCTTGCAGATTTATTGGGACAATGAAACAAGTGAGGAAAAGCTTTTGAGACGTTTTCCTTAACTAAGGTGAGAGCAATACAGACTCATAGAGAAAATAATGATTATTAATTAACAAAGGGTCCTGCAATGTTTCACTACAGGGTTGAAGGTTTGTTCTGCAAACTGAATATTAAGGAAATGTCTATAGTATATGTTTGTGTCCTTATTCCAGCTCAGGACAGGACTAATTAACTCTCTTTCTACAATATTATTCAGTTTAGTGAAACCAACTTAAAATCAAAATGAAGTATTTTTTCTTTTATGGTGCAGTAAACATTTTTTTTTCCACATCCCACTTTCTTCTGATTTTGCTTTTTGGAACATATATTTTGTCTTAAGTAACATATTTGGTAGAAAGGAAAAAATCTAAAAAGATTAGTTTCATTCAGGGGTGGATTTGCTTAAGCAAATTAATGATTGATCTACACAATAATTTGTGAAAGGCACTTGAGCTTTAGATCTAAAGTTAGTGCCGAAAACATATTTATGTGTTTTCTAATATGCTCACTACATTTAATTATGTTTATGTTTATGCATTTAGGAGTCCCTTTTATCCAAAGAGACACACAAAGTAGACACAATTTTACAGTTATAGTCAATATGACAGTAAGTTCTCTAGAGGAAAATGTCTAGTCAGAATCAGTGGTGACAGCAAAGAGAGGGAAGTTCAGAAAGAGTAGTTAGAGGGGTACAGAGGTAGGGGTAAGAGCTTGGATAAGAGATGCTCATGGAGGAGGTTGGTCTTTAAGAGTTTCTTAAAGATAGAAAGGGAAACTGCTGTTCTTGCAGCACTTGGTAGGTCATTCCACCATAATGGAACAACACATGAAGACTGTCTGGACCGTCTTAAGCGTGGTGTAGGCACTGCTGGACAACCATCCATTGAAGACCGGAGTGACATAAGCATTTGCAAGAGGGTTAAAGTAGACGGGAGCCGCACCCTTAGGCATTTTAGAAGCCAGCATCAGGGACTTAGATTTGATGCGGGCAGCCAGGGGTTACCAATGAAGCTCAATGAACAGAGGGGTGGCGTAAGAACTTTTTGGGGTGATTGAAGACCAGACGAGTCGCTGCATTCTGGATCAGTTGTAACGGTTTTACCGTACAGGCTGCCATACAATAAAAGCAAGTTGTGCAGGTTTAACTTTCTAAAACACGGTGGTGGAGGGATGATGATCTGGGGTTTTCTTGGTAGCCACAACACATAAGACATAATGAAAGTTTGAGAGTGGTTAAAAAAAAAAAGGATCTTAAACCAAACAGCAGTTCAGTCGAAGAACAGACCTCTACCTGCATGAAATGTGGTGGCCATACCAAAGCAGATCTGAACAGAAACTCATCTTTCAAATGAAAGTAAGTAGATACAGAACTGTGATTTTTAATATAAAGGGCTGGAAACAAAGTTCAAAGTTAAATTACTTTCAGGTTTATAAAACATTGTACTCTGTTTAAATCAATAATGTTCTGATTAGCATTGGTTGAAACATAGATTTGTTTATGCAACAATACTAGAGTGAAAGTTATAATTATGAATAATCACTATGGGTGGTTAAAACAGATAACATAAAAATAAAAACAAATAGTATTAGCAAACAGCAAAATTTGTTGAAAGCTTTTAGCTATTATAAATGTATGCAAAGTGCATATTTATGGAGGATTTCACCATCAGAGCAATTTCAAATCCACTGTCCATTCAGTTAGTGTTCATTTGAAATGCACTGAATTTCTGTAGTGGATTTTCTGCAACATAAAACTGCATCTCTGATTGCTTCAACCTGTAGCATAAACTGTGAATGTTAAGGAAAAAAAGAAAAACCTCTTAGCTATTGTTTTTTTTAAACAAAAAAGTATGTGTATGTATTAAGTCTAAAATATTTATTTTTTATTAAAATAATGCTGCCATATTTGTAAGCACTCAGTCCTACATAGCAGCAGGCTGCATATCTGGATGACTGCGACTTCTGGAAAGATTCAATCTGCAGCAGAACTGTCAGGAGCCGGCCCACATCAGAGACGGTTACACCATGGCATTTTATTTTTAGTTTTTTGACCGACCTTTAACTTTCTTTAATAAGACTTTTTACAACGCACCAACACGGCAACTCAAATAATATTCTAATATAATTTGTTAATTTTTAACATGGTGGACCTTAGTGGTAAACTATTCAAGGTTACAGCCTCATTAAGCCAGTTAATATTTTAGTAGAGGTGTATACACTGTGTTCCAAGTCAACTCTTATGAAAAACTTTTTGCTTGTTGCATAACTGGGGAGCTGCATGGTGGCACAAATTTGGCTGCAAGCTAGCACCTTTCTAAATGACCCCTGCTTATTTTTGTGCATCCGTGGGTTCTCTTCCTTCCTCATACTGTATGCATGTTAGTTAAACTAGTCTCTTTAATTCATATTTAGGTCTGAGTACACACGATGGATCCTTCATCGGTCTAAGGTGTACTCTGCCCCTTGTCCAAAACCTGAGGCAACAGCCTCTATGAGACCATGTGTGGAATAAACATCTGTAGAACATAAATGGATGGATTGTGTAATTAATTTTACGTTTATTCAATGTGAAAAGTACGTTTATTTCACATTTACATCAATGCAACCACTACAAACTTGTTAAATGATTTGATTTAATGTTGTCTGATTCACTTCTGACCTTTACTTCAAGTTTTTAATCAACATTTTTATCTTGATTTATCTATTTATGAGTTTTTATCAATATTTGTCAAGTCTTCCCAATAGTCAGGCAACGCCATGTGCAAAGACTCAAAACCATTTTCAGAAAACAACAATAGTCAAAAAAAAAAAAAGGAAAATGTATAATTAACCAGTACTTTAAGTAAAGACCAGAAGGAGGTCTGGATTTATGGAGGCAAAATCTAAATGATAAGTGTCCGGAATGATTAATGATCAAAGACTTCCGCAGTTACATTAAAACAATCAGACAAAAATATTAATCTTATCTCCTTTTGTGTCCTTTGCCAGCCATCTCATCTGGAATGCTCCTATAAAACCTCTGCAGTTACGCCCAGTTTTTGTTGAAGCAAAGCATCATGGTAAACAGGAAGTCAGAGGTCCAGCGAAGGATCGTGTCCAAGGACGGCCATAACAACGTTCAGATCGACAATGTTGAAGGAATGGTGAAGCTCTACTTGCATGACATCTGGACTACTGTAGTGGACATGAAGTGGCGTTACAAGGTCACTCTGTTTGCCTCCACCTTCATCATGACCTGGTTTATCTTTGGGGTTTTCTTTTATTTAATCGGCATGGGGAATGGAGACTTTGATGTTGGGCAAAATTCAACCCACACACCCTGCCTGATGAATGTGGAGACTCTCACTGGAGCCTTCCTGTTCTCTCTGGAGTCACAGACCACTATAGGTTATGGTTTTCGATACATCTCTGAAGAGTGTCCTCTGGCTATCTTCACGCTGGTGGCTCAGCTTGTCATCACAGGTCTTGCTGAGATCTTTGTCACTGGTGCTTTTCTGGCCAAACTTGCCCGACCAAAGAAGCGAGCAGAAACCATTAAGTTCAGCCAAGTGGCTGTGATCTGCAGACACCAAGGCAAGCTGTGTCTGATGGTGAGAGTGGCCAACATGAGGAAAAGTCTGCTGATTCAGTGCCAGCTAACGGGAAAGCTGTTTCAATCCAATGTTACCGAAGAAGGAGAGAAGACACAGATCCATCAGAGCTCTGTCGATTTCTACATGGACTCCAGTGGAGACTGTCCTTTTCTCATCCTCCCGCTCACCTTCTACCATGTTATTGATGAGAAGAGCCCACTGGCAGGACTGACGGCAGAAACCCTGAGCCATCGCAACTTTGAGCTGCTCATCACACTCAATGCCACCATGGAATCGACCGCGGCAACATGTCAGAGCCGCACCTCTTACGTCCCTGAGGAGATCCTGTGGGGCTACGAGTTCAAACCGGTGCTATTTAGCTCTCCCAACTGCCGCTATGTCGTCGATTTCAAGTTTTTTGATCAAGTGCAAATGAGCAGTGATGCTTCCTTCCAAAGCAACAACACAGTAAAACTATAACCGATGAAGGGACTGAGAGAAAATTGTGAGAACTATAGTTTTACAACGCTGTGATCTTACAGGAAATTGACCTCAGGGTCTATCATCATTAACAAGTTGTGCCAGGTATTGGGCGCTGGTCATTTCACCGATTACCATGTTATACCTCTGGAAATGTTATAATTTCATACCTTTTTAGGAATCACATGGTACCTCAGGATGTTTTGTACTAACCATGTATACATTGGAACCAACTATGGGACCCAAAATATTGTTTTAAGGAGCCTTCTTTGACCTAATAAAAGGCTTAAAAGAAAAAATGGAGAATATGACATCAGTGAATCATTTCTACGACTATGAGATAAGTTAGTTATTTCGATCAGGGCATCTAATCTGTCATATACCAAACATATTAGCTTGCCCAAATGAATAGAGCCATAATAAAGAGAGACTAAAAGTTTTCAGATGGGTATGAAGAGTGAAGAGAGTATAAAATAATCTATTTGCAAAACATAAATTTGCTTGTCTGAGATTAAAACAAAACTTCATACCCCATGGTTTGAGCAAAATTGTATGTTTACAGACCGTACAAAACAAAAAAAAGGGAAAAAATGGGTACTAAACAGAGGTATGAACTGGTGAAGTGACGTACTGATCCTGAGCCAGTTATTCACTCATATCACCAATACCCTGGTTCAAAGGTCTTTTATTTCATCATGTAACAAGGATGTAATTTATTTTTATCCCTTTCTAACAATAAAACTTAATCTTTTAGCAGACGGTAAAAAAAAAAGAAATAAATTCAAATTCTGTAAAGAAATTTTGCAATAAACCTTGAGAAAAAAAAAATGGCCCTCTTTACTAAGATCTCAAAATAAGTTTGCCTGCGCAGAGTCTCTTTTGGATGTGATTGGTCAGCAAAACAGGCCCCGCCCACCAAATGACACAATTTATTTGAACTTTAAAGTTATGGGTGAGTCTTAAAAGTGTAAAGAGCAATGCTTGCAAGTCAATATTTTTGATTTACTAGAAATGTAAAAAAATATATATATATTTTTAGATATTTTGTTTCTTTTTTTATTATATATAGGGAAAATAAGTAATTTAAATAACAAAAGTTTGGAGCATGAATATGTTTGATGAATTTTCTAATTATAGTAATGATCATTATCTTATAAGAATGTTCTTTATTTAAAGGTTATAACCTGTATTTGTAATAGGCCTATGTATGTAAATGTATATATATATATATATATATATATATATATATATATA